TAAATTGTCATCATCATTATTATTAAGATAATTCTAGTCATCGCAATGTGATTCACGAGTTTTCATGGTCTGAATTTTCTTATTGCTCAGTTTGTTTGTTTGAAAGTAAGCACAAAGCTACACGATGGGCTATCCGTGCTCTGCCCACCACGGCTATGGAAACCCGGTTTCTAGCGTTGTAAGTCCGTAGACATGCCGCTGGGAAGCATTTTGCTTACTGAAAACTGTAAATGTTATGCATTAATAGGGTTGTGTTAAAAACTACAGTGCTGACATCCGGGGTTCGATTCCACGCGGTGGCTGTTGCTCAAGTTTTGCAGGAAAGGTTTAATTTCCCTTGATGAGGTGTGAAGTTTCCAATCAATAAATGTTCAAGACTGTAGACGTTTGTGCTTTAGCTGCATATAACTGTTATTTCTTAATACACAAATAATTTAAAAGATACAAGATAGTATTTAGCAATATCAGAAGAAAATTAAGCCTAACTTCAGTACTTTTATTATAATCATAATTTCTAAAACATTCGAATTTTGCTTAGTAATGTAAACTATATAAACGTTATTAGGATAAAATGGAAAATAAATTATGCACAGCATTTGTGATTTATTGTTCCTATGGTTACATAACATTTCAAATTTTATACTGACTTTTGCTCTCGGTGTAAAAATCTCAAGTTTGGTATCTTCCATATTTTATTAACAGTTACATAGACTGGTTGCAGATCTTTTGTTATCTTACAATAGAACAACGCAAAAAAAAAACATCCACGTTACATAATCCTGGTATTTAGATTTGCAAAATGAGTTGAATGGACCACGTTCTTCAAAACAAAATCTGAAGAAAAAAAAGGTGACTTTAATAAACTCCGTGACCGTTTGAGGGCGCTTGTATCGAGTTACTCTGCTCAAATTACTATATTCTATATATTTATATTTATTCATGTACAACGCCTATTGTTTTCCCACAATAAACAGAATACGTATGATTTATAGAATACATCTAAATATCTTTTACGATATTCAAGGAAAATAATTTAAACGAGAGGATTGTTTGTTAGTTGTTTTTTTTAGCGCAAAGCTTCACAAACTCTTAGATAGGGTTGACAACCTAATACAGAAACAGAAAATAGTGTTAGTCGTACGATTTAATATTCTACCTACATTAATAGGGTAACAGAGTACTTTCAAGAAAGCTCTTAGTTAGGGTTGATAACCCACTACAAAAACGGTGAACAGTTTTGGCTGTACGATTTAATATTGTATCTACGTTAATAGTGACAGAGAATTTCAAAGAAAGCTCTTAGTTAGGGTTAACAACTCACTACAGAAACAGTGACGAGTGTTAATTGTACGATTTAATATTGTATCTACGTTAGTAGGATGACAGTATTTTGAAAGAAAGCTTTAATTAGGGTTAACAACCCATTATAGAAACAGTGATGAATGTTAGTTGTACGATTTAATATTGTATCTACGTTAGTAGGATGACAGAGCATTTCAAAGAAAGCTTTAATTAGGGTTAACAACCCATTATAGAAACAGTGACGAGTGTTAGTTGCACGATTTGATGTTGTAGCTACGTTAGTAGGATGACATTTCAAAAAATAAACTTGAGACGTGTTTTTACGTACTACGCATTACGCATGGTTCCACATATTATGCTCGTCCATACATTCATCACTAATAAGGCACGAGCGTTATACGTCTTCAACTTGTTGCTTAGCCAAAGGTGAAGGAGGTGAGGAACTGGATGAAATAATCAGAATACAGAATTGGTATCAATTCAAAGATAATAGCTAGAGTAACCTTTCGAAAATTAGGTCCGAAGAGGGGTATCTATTCTGCAAACACACACAATAATAATAATAAAATGATTTATTTACAGCGAATAAATTTGCGCAAATAATAATGTTACGCCTCCAGTCGTTACTTAATTT